GAGCAAGTTCGAAATTGTTAAAATGGTTTTTCGCATTATTGGGTGGGGCTTAAACCGCTTATTGATTGGATGTGTTTAAGGCCCTTTGATTTATTATCGTAATGCAATTCGACGGTTATTTATTTATTTAAATTTTAACAGCGAACGTTTAAGCTTATGAGGGCTTAACAAGCCCTTTGTTTTAAATTTAAACAAATGTTCTTTCATGTTTTAAGTCAAAATGTTGAAAGGCATTGAATGAAAGAGCTGCAAAGTAACCAATTTTTGCCTTAGTTCCTTCCATATTTATCAATTTGGCCTCCACCTCCAATCCTTCTCAGCATGTCACTTGAGCCTGGGGCAGATTTTCGACCCACTCCCTTTCATTCGAGCAGCTTTCACTTCCCGTTGGCACAAGGACCTCGATAGGGTCGCTGCTCCTGTCCCTGTTTTTGAGATTCGTTGGGCGCGTTGTCGCGTTTATGTGATTCAATTTACTTCGATTAGGCATTCCATTTGCCGAACGGAAAAGGGAGGAGGTGATCCGGGCAGGACAGATGTGCCTTGTCATGACTGACGGATTTATATAAAGTCAGGCGGGAGCGTTTGAAATTAAAATGGCTTTTGCTCATCAGGTTCTCCGCTCCTTCCGTTCCGGAGCGATAAGTTTGAGACGGGAGTCCCGAGCCTCGCAGTGTGACAGCTGCTCCTGGCATGTGTGCGGGATATTTGGATACTATATGGTATATTGTATATTGTATATTGTATATCGTGTATCGTAGTGTATCGTATATTGCATATTAGGACGGGGCATTCCAGCAAACAGGCGAAACAGTTTGATATCCGGTGGCGACGCCGGTTCCAACTTTTCCGACGCCGCTCTTCCCGGAGTCCAGACACCACCACGTGTCCTCCAGGACTTCTGCCTCCGCACTCGATCCTTGGCCTTCAGCTCCATTCCTTCTTCAAGCTATCACGTCCCCGTCTGATGAAAACTGTCAGCTTTATTGTTCGTACACAGCAGGAAATCAGCGGGTGGACATTGAAATGATAAAATTAGAAATACAAAAATAATAAATAAATGAGAACCTTTATTAACTTGATTTTATTATAGCTTTAACGTTTGTATATCATATAATATATGATATATGGTAATTAATTTATATTACTCTCCATAAAAACTGCAATTTAACCAATTACGACCTACAATTTTTTATGTTTTGCAACATTATATTATCAGTTTGATGAGGATGCAATAAATCACACCTATTAACCTCTACCTCTAATAAATTGTTGGAGTGTGCCGATTGTCTAGTCTGTCAATCTCCGTCACCACGTAGCCCAAAACTTCCGGGCAGCACATATTTTGACTCCGGCATATGCTGAATCGGATGCCCCCGACAATTTTCCGCTGGATCCCCTCCATTATGTGCATGGCGTTGCACGTGCCTCGTTTGATGGGTTGAAAGGGGGTAAAAGGGGGTAAACGGGGGTTAAAGGGGGTAAAGCAAGCGGGCGGAGGCTGTTAAGCGCCCAAGCGAACAATTGAAAAATTAACAGTATTTATTTATGATGAACAACAAAAAGAGGGAAGGCCGAGCCAGATTGAGCTCATTCGCGATTCCGCGCCCCAAAATGCCGCCTTAACAGCTCTGGCACTGCAGCATTTTCCACTTTTCCACCCACCCCTGGTTTTTCCGCCACCCTCTCGGCCCACTCAGTGCGTGCTTCGCATGGAAAAGTGGCGAATAATGCCAAGGGCCAGAAAACGAAAACGGCCAGTTGCAACAATTTTTTAATTGGCGCGGAAATTGCTGATGGAATTGACGCTATGAAAGGCAATTTCGGAGTACAAGCTGCAAGGACGTTGGCCAATTTGCTGCCGAATGCAAACGAGATGGCTTAAAATGGATGGAGAAAGAGTGATGTTGCACGAACTTTTTGATAGAGTTCGGTTTACCGAATTGTTGGTACCAAGTATTTAAATAAATATTCATTAAAACTTTAATTTTAAACATATTCAGGTGATTGGGATTGAAAAACCATTTGCTGTACGAACATAAAATATTTTTTTTAATAAATATAGCCAGTTAAGTACATTTTTAAATGTGACAAAATCCAACAATAGCATCCTAAAAGGTATGTGTTCTGGTGCACAAATACCTTTTATCATTTATGTGCTCCCGAAATAGACCCGATAAAATCAAATGGCGGCCGAAATTCGATTGGTACTTTGAAAGAAATATCAAATATTCAAGCAGCTAACTCGGCTCAGGGGCTTCGGGCTATAAATTTAAAAGGTAAATGGAAATCAATGCAGAATTATAGCACATTAAAGCCATAAATAAGGTGGAAATAAAGGCGAACCCGATCGAAATGGGAATGGGCAAATCGAGCCGGTCATTTATTTAATTTTTCGCACGATTTCAGCATTTGCCGTTTGCTGGCCGGAAAAGGCCGCAGGTCAAGAGAAGGCCAGAGAGAGATGGGAGAAAGTGGGACAGAGACAAAGGAAGTCTGGACGAGATAGAAACATCAGTTAAATGACCGCAAAGAGGAACAAGCGGCTGGGAAACTGAATGTGCGTACGTGTTGGGGGGTGGAAAATGGGAAGGAGTGGGAAATGGGAAATGGGAAAGTGGCAGCGTGTGAAGTGCCGGGCAAATAAAGTGGGTGGCAGGAATAATATCAAGGGGTCACAGACAGGCAAATGCAAATAATTCCGAGGAAAAAGGAGCAGAAAAAGGTGAAGGCACTTGGTGCAAATTAAATTACCCAAAGACACAGAAACAGTGAAACAACGAAACTAAGTGCACGCCACATAAAATGTATGCAAATTTTGAGAATACCAAAAATAAGTTCTCAAATATCAAAGAAAATATCGCAAACAAATTGTTTAACTCCTCCCCCGAAAAACAAAAGTGCGACAATTGTGGGAATGCGGAAAATTGGGGTGAGTTAACATAAGAGACACCACCGAAAGAGACAGCAATAGTAACATTACAGTCCACTTTTCCCGTGAGGGGAAATAATTGCAAAGCAAACAAAAGAAAACACGCTGAAACCGAAAAATCATAAAAACTGTCGCTGCTTAGTGGCTCACTTGGCGATGCCATTTGTCCATCATCCCAGAGGCAGCGGAAAAGCAGAGGAAAAGCAGCGGAAAAGCAGAGGAAAATCACAGCAGAGCAGCGCAGCGGCAGAACAGCCGGCTTCTGGGGGAGCAAAGCGAATTCTTGGTCAGAAATCTGCAGAAAAAGCCGCTCCACTCGATTGCGTTTGTTTTGCTGCCAAAAAAGAGAGGAGGGAATATTTGATTAAAATTGTTACTGGTCAGGGTTGAAATACATGAAATGCTCATGTGAAATTGTTTAGAATTGCTTATATTACGTATATTTTAAGCAGCAGGCACCCTTTATGGGATATGAGTAATTCAGCGCATTTTTTCGTCCTGTTCGGGAAGTCTCCTTTCGAGAGGAGAGTCACCGTTATGATTACAATGACCCCTATGATCCCGACCAGCAGACGCGTGTCCTCGCAGTCGCAGTCCCCCTTCCTTGTCCCAAATCCCCTTTGTCCTTTGAACAGTAGTTGTTGTTGGCGAATGCTTAGTGGCCCTCAGGAGTTTGGGGCTCAGTTTGGTTTGGGTTTGGGGGACAGTCAGCCAACCAGTTAACAGAGTCGGCTTCTGGCAGTGGTTGCTATCTGAAAAAGAGGACGGAAGGACCTAATACCCTTTCCCCTATGGAAATGGGCCCGCACTTTAAAACCCGATACTCCAGCCTTGTTGAGAGCACATTCAAAAATCCAAAACAGATGCCAGGACCGGTTTCTCCTTTCTGGAAATTACCTCTTCAGTACTACAACAATGCGGCCTATGATTACGTTACTGTTGGCCAAATCTTTAAAGGCCAGTCACACGTATCGGCTGCTATTTTTCTCCGCCTCCTCCGCCTTTTTGGCCCCTCGGAAGTTGCCCAATTGAGTGTGCTGCAATCAAGAATCAGAGGTCATCAGCCATCAGTTGTCGACGAAGGAGGCGGAATCGGAATCGGAATCGGGGACTTATATTTGGCCGTCGCAATAAGCGATTGCCGGAACAAACGTCGCTGACGGGGATTCCCCGCCTTTTCCGATTGGCCAAAAAGTGTTGACAATGCCATTTCTCAGTGGACCGGCTGGCTGACTCGTGCTTTTGGCCAAAAGGCATCTGCTCCAAAGGAGAGCTGCCCAGAATGGCTCTGCTCATTTTTCAGCCAGTTTTGATTAATGGTCAGAGGCGGTTTGAGCCGGCGGCGACTTTTTTATTTGGCAATTATGTTGTTTAGAGCTCGCAACAGATTTCGCACCTCGAACATTTTTCATGCACCGAAACACGAAACACGGATACGCCCACTCTCGGACTTTGATTCCGTGTTCCGAGGCTTGTCACTGGCATGCGCCGTCATTAATCCTCCCTTTGGCCCTTCCCCGAGTCTCCTTCTAGCCGGCTTCATTTTTCAAAACGGATTTCGGCTTTTTCCGACACTTGACAAGTGTTTTCGACTTGCGGCAGAAGGTGTCACAAGCCACGGACAGATTTGAGGTTGACTTCGGTGGGCAGAAGGCTCTCCTCATCGAATTCGGAATGGGGAGCTTTATGCAAATGTAGGACGTTAAAAGTCTTGAAAAAAATCTGTTAATAGGCGACTTATCAAAATCCTATCAGTCAACACCATTACTAGATTACTAGATAATTTACATCTACTCAAAAGCCAGCCTGAAATTGTATTAATCTTTTAAATCTAATAGTTACTAAATACTTTTTTAAACTATGCTATAAAATCTCTCAAAATGTATACCAAAAATCATTGACTCTTCACTTAGATTGAAGTACTGAAATGCACAAGCCAAACAGACAATCGGATTTAACTGTGGCACGTGGCACGTTTATACTTTCAACTACCCCCTCACCCTGCTTTTCAACCCTCGGTTTCGCAAGGTAATTAGCAGAAATTAATGAGGCGAAAGACTCGATACTGTGGGGTTGCAAAATAGAATATAATCTGCACAAGACAATGGTCAATGTTTTGTGAATAAAATCAGATAGTTTTAGACGTTGTGCTTCGACTGCCACTGGGTTCCATCGTTGGGCAGAGGACTCTTAATACTTGGTGATAGGAAGGTCCAGAAATGACGGCGTCCAAGGACCTGAGCAAAGTTTTTCCAACATCCGAGATCATAAGTGCGATCAGAGGAGTTATGCATTACGGCGTTTCTTCGAATCAGAAATATTTGTTGGAAAAACAGTAGCCCCGGAAATAAGACGGCGCATATGTTTACATAAAAAACCAATCGAACTTGGACCTCCAAAGCCATGTTAACTGAGCCGCGATGTAAATACTCTGCAAGCAAAAGGCCATTAAAGGAAAATAAGCTAAGCACACTAATTTTGTTTCTTAAGGCGAATAGTAAATTTTCGACCAGGGCAATTGTACTTCCGAGAGTTGCATAAAAAGCAAACCACATGAAATAACGATGGTTGTTATGGCCAACACAATTGGCCACAAAGGAGCAGTGGTGATCGCGCTTCAAAATGCAAATATTGCAGACTTTGCAGTGCCAGGATCTCGGTGGAACAGTCCTCTGGCACTTTTCGCAGGAGTGCCACAAGTGCTCCTCTCCCTTCGCAGGTTGCATCAACTCAGGTGGCAAGGTGTCCACAGAACTTTTCGTTTTGCTGCAGGCTCTCAGATTTCCCAGGATATTGTACACAATCCATGTGGTCACTACGAAGTGCACTGCATTTCCAGTGGTTCCCAACATTTGTGGCACAACGTAGAACACATCGTAAAGGTAGTAAAAAAGGGTAAGGAAGATGTTTAAAAATATTGCCAGGGGATCAGTCCAGGAATCTACAGCTTTAAGGAGGCGGTCTTTGATCCTAGAAATCCTGTTTTCCTCCTGTGAAGCCATGACTGCGATGGTTGAGTAAAAATAACTAAAATTTATTGTGAAGAGTGCTGAAATTTTAATTAAATGGCGTTTAATCCTGAGATCACTACATGCTTATAGCTTTTCTATATTTCCGTTTATTTAACATTTACTGGAACTGATGGTGGCGAGGAATTTGTTTCCCAATGAGTGCCGTCATGAGGAAGAGGACTTTTGAGTGTGGGCGAAATAAAAGTCCAGAGGCCTCTCTCCCCCATAATAAACTTGCAGTTCTTTGTGAAGCCCAGATCATAAGTGCGAGTGCACATCTTATAGTAAGTGGTGTTGAAGTAGACAATTCTTTTCTGAAACGCCAACATAATGGCAGGTAGAACACAGGCGCAAATGTTGAGTAAGAAAATTAAATACTCGCAGAAACTGTAGCCATCAGAGGTTTTGGAATGCTCAACATTGAATATGATTCTATAGAGTGGGAACGGGTCAAAGAGGTAGCCTTTCTTCACAATATAAATTATTGTTGTCAATATACTCAAGCCAGTTCCAAGGGTCAAGTAAAACGTGAACCAAAAGAAATATCGGTGGTTGTTGTGGCCAATGCAAGTTGCCGTGAAAACGCAATGATGATCCCGCTTTAAAATACAGCATTTACACAGGTTACAGTGCCAGGATCGAGGAGGCATTAACCTCTGGCAGATCTCACAATAGTGCCACAGGTGCTCCTCTTCAGCACTCGGCGTTCTTCGATCCTGGGGCAGACTGTCCACGGAAGTATCTAGGCAATAGCAAGCCAGTTGGTTTCCCAGGATATTGTAGACTATAAAGGCTCCCACGATCCAAAGTACTTTGCACAGCAGGTCATTGAAAACAAATGGCGTTATGACAAACATTTGCAATTTGAAGAAGAAGGCAGTGCCAACCAAAACGGTTAAGACTGATAGAGGATGAGCTATGTCCACGAACTTCTTGGGATAGAGATTGGCATAATGATGGCACAGATCAGTCAAAATGCACATGGTTTTAAATATCAAAAAAATTTGGATTTCAATCTCAGTATCTTAACTCAATTTTGACAAACTTTTCAATAGGTACTTTTTTCTGTCGAAATAAAGTTTATACTTATGGGTTGAAAACATATATTTAATACTCAAAATACTTATAATTTAGACACTGTGCTTCATCTGCCACTGGGTGCCATCGTGGGGCAAAGGACTCTTCACCGAGGGTGAGAGGAAGGTCCAAAGTCCCCGCTCACCCAACATAATCTTGCAGTTCTTTTTCAATCCCAAATCGTACACTTGAGAGTAAAAATTATAGTAATCAGAGTTTGTGCATAATATCTGGATTTGCCATGCCAACATTATCCCTGGTAAGCAGCAGAGCAACAAACAGAGCCCGAAAACTGGCTTATAATACAAACTGGGCTCTGGGCCATTGTGCTGGAAAATCATGTTAATCAAGTCCAAGCCAAGAAAGCTGATCAAATGAAAGCCATGTATTATGGCATGAAGGAAATGGGAACCAATGCATCCGATCAATCCCAATGTTAAGTAGAAGGTCAACCAGAAGAAGTAACGATGATTGTTGTGACCAATGCAAGTTCCTGTGAAGATGCAGTGGTGATCCCTCTTCAAAATGCAACACCGGCAAAGATCACAGTGCCAGGATCGTGGAGGCATTAGCTTTTGACAGGTTTTACAATAGATCCAGGTGTGCTCATCTCCTGGAGTTGGAACTTGGCGATCCTTTGGCAGGCTTTCAACAGATGAGTTTGTATGATAGCAGGCCAGCATGTTTCCCAGAATGTTGTACGTTATGAATATGGCCACAATCCAGCAGATCTTATATAACACACCACCATATAATTGGGGTGCTATATAAAACATCTGATGTCCGAAAAAGAATGCGGTCATCCCCAGTAGAAAGATAAACGACAGTGGGTGAATTATCCTTACGAAGTTCTTGGGACTTCGTTTGGCAAAGTATTTAAGTCCAATATTCACGTAGCACATGGCTCAGAGATATCAAGAATTCTGCTGTTGTCTACTAATATTCAGATGTAAGAGTGAACTAAAAATTACACAAATTTCAAAGTGCTCCATTTTGTTTGTACACAACAGGGTAATAAAATGTCATTTTCAATTTCATCTTGAATTATTTTTAATATTTAGTTTATTAGGTTAGCTTTTTATTATTATTATTATTTTTCATACTTAAACGTTCTGCTTGCAGATCCACTTGGTTCCGTCGTTGGGCAGAGGACTTGCGATTGTGGCTGAAAAGAAGGTCCAGAACCGCCTCCTTCCCAAAACCATTTCAAAGTTTCGCCGCCAGCCGACATCGTAGCTACGATCCATTATCAAATAGCAAGTACTGTTCCGAGAAACCATAACCATTTGCAGGATAAACATTCCTAGCGGAACCAGAAAAAGTAAAAAGTTCAGCTTGAATATGCTGCCAACTGTGATCTTCCAATCTAACAACGGATCGTCTCTATAATCGTGGGCCACCAGAAACAAGGGATCGGATACGAGAAAAGCATTGTGTTTCCAGGATAACATGGCATTGTAGACCAAGGCTTGTCCAGTGCCGAGAGTCAGATGAAACAGGAAGCCCAGAAAGTATCGCTGATTATTGTGGCCGACGCAGTTTCCTAAGAAGGTGCAATGGTGATCCCTTTTCAGGATGCAATCGTTGCAGAGACGACAATGCCAGGATCTCGGAGGCACCAGCTTCTGGCAGGTGGTGCAGTAGTGCCACAGGTGTGCCTCACCTGCCTCCGGATGTTGCCTCTTCGGGGGCAAGCTGCCCACCGTCGTGTTGCTCGTAAAACCAAGCCACCAGTTGGCCAGAATATTGAAGACCACATAAATGCCGAGCAGCCAGTTCAACTTGTGCCAAATCCCTTGGGGATCAGTTAACAACGGCAAAACGAACCACAGATCGTAGACAAAAGTGAATCCAATCAGACTGAGTAGGAATAATGCCGATAAAGGATGAAGGAGGCCCACACATTCTTTGCGATGCCTTCGAATGCACAAAAGGATCCCGTCCTCCAATCGAAAACACATTCTGCGACTCCAGCAGCAAAAGGTCCTCAATGGCCTTCGGAATTTTAGCATCGGTATATAAATATCATAAAATATTATTTTTCAATATAATGAATTTTAGACGCTAGAACTGCTTTGATTTGAAAATTTGTACCTAAATGTCCTAATCGCATCATCAAGTGAGTTGGAAAATCAGGACTGAATGTGGCCATCGGGGAGGGGTTTGAAATTCAATTTCTTTTTATTTTTAAGCGGATTAATGGGAAATTACTTTTATAATTGGAGGGGTCGTAAATGCTCGAGGCTTGTGGACAAATTAGGAAAAGCATATGAGGGGCGTTATTAATTTGTGGCAGGGGTGTTTGCTTTCATAGATTTTTTGTTTTAAATTAATTAATTAATTAAGCATTCAAAACATGTGGGCATTTCTTTGTTTATTGAATATCTTATTACTATACTATACTACTACTTATACACGAATTTTTATTTAAAGACACAAATATATTTGGTGTGCTACCTGGAAAAGTAGGCCTTGACTACCAAATGAATTTCAATAGCAAGTTCAAAGTTTTTCCTTCTTCCGCTCTATTTGGCTTCCCGGAAACAAAAACTGAAAAGCAAGGTTAAACAGAAACCTTGCTCAAAAATGTAAGCTGATATGCAGGAAATAAATTGGTACGAAAACAAAATGGACTGAACAGCAACATCAACACGGACTCTTCTCGTATATATATGCTATATATATGATGCCTTTGCAGCAGGCGGATGTTATGTAAACAAAGAGCGGAGTAAAAACAACGGCGAATGCATATCAAATATTCGAAACAGATGGCCGGAGTCGACTTCATCGGCCCGCCGACCGCAAAATGGCAGCTGTCAGCCAGGCTTAGACCGCAGAAGCGAGTGTTGTCTATTTCGCATAAATTTTTATGAATTATTAATATGAACTAAGCATTTTGAATGTGGGCCCGGCGAACGTGGAAAGGTGGTGGGGTCGCGGTTTTCCATTTTAAGTCTGCGGCATGCACACCTATAGAGGGGGGTATTTTTTGTGGCATAGAAAAGTGGCAGTGTGCCTTGCGTTTGCATAAAATATGTGCGAGGGCGGAGCGGAGCTTTCCCCACTTCGTGGCTAAATGTGTTTGCCGTCTTCTGCCTAGACCGGAAGCAAACAAACAGCCATTTTGTGCTGCCATTTGGCGCTGCCATTTCCGGCAGCCACTCCACTTCGTCTGTCAGTCAGTCAACCTGTGGCTTGACTTTCTCCCACTCTCGTTTCGCTTTCTCTTTGACTTTGTGCGGGCACTTCGAGTCATTAGCATTTGCTCAGCGAAGACGACAGACACACTCGAAAAACGAGAATGGTTTGCGGAGTTGGCAACTGCTTTTGGCCAACTTCTCGCATAATTGCCGAGTTTTGCTGCTAATTTAAGATTATATTCCCTACCTTCTACCTTTCCACCTTCCACCATCTAGCATCTCGCATTTCGCATTCGGTGTCTTTGTTTGATTTCATTACGAGCAGAGTCACAACTTCAGGAAAGTTTTCGCAGCTTGCAGCCTTTGTCTCCCCAGGATTTCACTTCCCGGGGTTACTGTGTAATTTGCAAGCAATTACCTGGCAGGGGCACTCCCACATCCATTTGGGCCACCATCTCGGATCTCTCGTATCTGCCGACTCCCTCGGCACGACTTCTTGGAATGTAATTGAGTTTGAAAAATGTTTAAAATTAGATATATGCGTGGCTGGGGCAGGAAAAGCACCTGCGTGAGTGGCATGTAAGCTCATGAAAAGCCTAACAAAAATGTATTCAACCCAAGTCACTCGACAGCGCAGTGCCCCATCATTTGGGTAATGAAAGATTCTTGACATTTCAGCGGTTTAACGATTCCGAGGTAGAAATGGGAAACTTGGGATTGGTATTGAATTGCCTAAGAAAAAACTAAGAACAATTATTCCAAAGGAGTACAAATACATTTACTAGTATTAAAGGGAACGAAAAGGTTACAAATATTAGTTACAATTTATTTATACTGTTTTGGTTTATAAATAAACAAACAATCGTTACTGTGAAATTATGTAGTATGTGTGACATAGGTATGTTTCTCTTTTTAAGTACTTTTTTAATGTTTTGCCATTACGCGATAAATAATGACTGAAAATACTCGCCCACGTGTGCCAGGTATCCCATTTACATTATTCCAGAGTGAGAATATGTTTTTCCAGGTTAAGATCCCCTCAAGACTCGACTTTTCCCGGCAATTAAGGTGCAGCCCTTGCTGTACACTTTAATTTATTTTGCTATTTATCTGAGCCTGCGGCCAACATTAATTTAGCATAGGTGCCACCGGCAAATGGGTTTCCACCTGCAGAACTTGAACCTTTGAGCTCCTTTTTGGAGCCGTTGCATCGTTCGTTTAAGGGGTTATATACCTTTTTCAGAATCAAAAAATCGAAAAAAATTTTATAATTTTTTTTGATGTACATACTTTCAACAATTTTTCTGCAAAATTTTTTAGAGATCGGAGCAGTAGAACCTAAGATACAGCGGTTCATAGCGCACGGTGTACGGTGTACCTAATGTCCACCTAAAACTTTAAACGCGATTATCTCGGAATCGCATTTTTGAGAAAAGGTCATTTCGGTGAGCACGATATCTCGGTAACCACTACATCGATCGATTTGAAATTTTGGGGGATTGTTTGTAGATACAATAGCTAGTTCGTGAACGAAGGAATTTTTTTTTCGACAAATTTTTCTATTTTTTTGGGGCGAAAAACTAAATTATTAGACCTCGAAAAATCGGTTTTTTTGAAAAAATAATCACTGTAACTGTAAAAAAATTTTTTCGTAAAACCCTTCGTTCACGAACTAGGTAACACTATATACTAACGTAGTTTTTTTCACTTTTTTTTAAGTTGAGCCGTTTTCTTGTTTTCATGCTCACCGCAAGCCTCTAATGAAAAAAGGACTTCTGCGGGAAGGACTATAACTTCCACAATACTCAAAATTTTCACTCGAAATTTTATACGAATTAAGTTAAGGACACGTACTTTGATAAAATTTTTATTGAATTTAAATAAAACAATGTTAACATGCTAAAAAAAATAAATAAAAACCATGTATTTCTCTGGTGAAAAAGGTATATAACCCCTTAAATGCTCGGTCGGCAGCTGGTGTAGATTTATTGTGCCCCATTGGGTCGAACCAATGCAGCAGCAAAATTTTAATGAACCATCAAACGGCAATTGGAGCTGTTCAATGCTCGGCGGCAACGTTGCGTATGAGTGATTTCGCAAAAGCGAGCCAGCTGTCCTGCTCGTTCGTTTCGAATGCTCTCCATTTTGTTAAGCTGTTTTGTGCCAAAATATGTTTGGCTGGCTGGCATGTAAAATATTTGGCACTTGGCACACAAAATGGCTTGTCATTTGGGCGAAATGAGTTGGAAGTTTCACGTAAACGTAACGAAAACTCAACGTTTTTTCCCAGCTCCCCTTGCAAAATATGTTTTATTTTTTTCTGAGCCGGGCGCGACACATTTTTCGCTGTTCGTGTGTTGTTGTTTCATTTTCGTTTTCATAAATTTTTCATTTTGCTTGACAATGTTTTGCGCCTTCGACATGTGTTTGCAATTTGCATGAGGTGAGTTTGTTTGTGTGTGTGTTTGTATTTGTATTTGTGTGGGTTAGCATTACTTGTTTGTGTGCAGAAATTGGAACGAACAAGAGCCGTGTGTCTGAGTGAAGGACCTTTTCGAACACAATGTTTGCTGATTGATACCCTGTGGGAGTGGAGTATTCGCCTTATGTGATTAAGGCTACCCGATACCCAACTGTTGGTATCGAGTCTAATTTGTTGACAAGGAAATAAATGACAGAACCCGGGTCATTGTTTGATTTATGCTGATTGTCATCAGGGTATCGAATTGAGTTTTAACTTTTCACCAAATTAATCTTGTTGCAAATGAATTTAAAATGAATACAACATGATTTGCTATATTAACATATAAATGGTTGTTTAAATTAAACTTAAATGACTACTAATAAAAACGAATTAACTAAATGCAAATTGCATTTTATTTTTGAATTTTATTACGAGAACAAAAATTATGACATTTTTAACAATTTGTTTTTAATGAGCATAACTATAAATAGTAAATTACCCATAGTGCCTGTATGTGTACTGCAGAATAAAGTATCCAATCCATCTTCCTATTCTTAATATCGGACTGAGAGTATTTTTTTTGTCGCACTGACCTCTTGGGCGACCTATCCATTTCCATATTGACATCCTTCTATATGTGCAAAATATTGAAAACCTAATAGTGAGGGAGAATGGCGAACGCGATGGGTTTGGGTTTTTCATTATTTTCATAGATTTATTGCAAAAGTTTCGTGATTACTTTCCCTTTTATCCCGGCAGCCGCTTTTTGCGGGCTTTCATTTTCGTTCGAATATTTTTCATGCCATTTTCCGAAGGAGCGGTTGATGTGAATCACAACCGATTGCTGATTGACTTTTCCACAGCTGGGACGCGGTAAAGTTGCGAAAATGGAATATGTAGATATCTTTAAGCGACCTGTGAACTATTTGCTTTTCATGGGGGGCCTCGAATAGTTTCGTTGCCTGAAAAGCAATTAAAAACTAATTACAGTAGCTGAAAGTCGGGGACGAAAAATGCGCAAAGGCATTTAATAAAAATTTAAAACTTAATTCAGTAAATGCCAGACAGCGGAGGCAACAACAAAAGAAACAAAGCAGCCTGGTGGGTGACAACGCGAATAATTAGAGCAAAAGGCGGCAAAGAAAAATACAGTGGGTGGGGAGAGGGGAGCGGGGGGAGGAAAAGGAGACTGGGAAAGGAAGCTGCTGCCGCCACGCACACCTGACTTTGTTCTATCCGGGCAACGTGGCGTATGAGCAATTAGTAGTTAATTGTAAAGTTACCCCAAGGGAGGGGGAATGGGAGGAGGGGCAAACGGCGGCATGCAGTCGTGACATTGACGACGAGGATGAGCCAAGGATGGATGGCGAAGGATTGCCGGGGGGAGGAAGGGGGTGGCACAAAGGAGGGGATAATTAAGTAGCAATTTTTGCCACTGCAGCTGAATTTTTAGCAGTCAGGCGAACTAGCGTGTGTGTGTGTGTGTGTGTGTTTTTGATGCATTATCGCCTGTAATTATCGTATCAATGGCGTTAAAACAAAGTCACGGCACGTCGAGCAGATAAGCCCAGGTAAAAATAAACGAACTAGAACCCCGTCTTTGATCTGGAAAATGTCAATTAAATATTAACCTAATAACTCAAACGCTACAGCAAAGGGATTAAGTGAGCCAGAACGGCAAGTCACTTTAAGCAATGCTCTCCGACTAATTGAAATGAAAAGCCCGGCTAAAGACGGCTAAAGTCAGTTGGCAGGATAACTAAGCAAGGCGATTAAAAGACCAACTAACCGAGAAATGAACAATGGCCTCTGGGTGAGGCAAGCAACAACAAAAAAAATATCAAACACGCAAGATGCAGAGCAAATGGCACAGGCTTCGAGGGAAACCATCTTGGCCAAGTTAGCAGGACGGCGGGACGGGCACTTATGTAAGCAAAGTGAAGCAGAGCCTGGGAAGCGTTGACAAAAATCAAACAATGAAAGCGCTGTTCAATAAAAACAGAACAGGAGCAAAAAATAAAGGGGCAGCGATAAGGAGCCGAAGGCAAACGGTTGGCCAAAACAGGGCAAACAGTAAGATAAAAAACAAAAGCGGACTGGGCTGGCAAGTCCTTTTTGCTCTCTTTGGGCCAAAATGAAGTGGCAACAAAAACAAAATTGCGAGCAAAGAAGTAGGAATGTGCTGGCTAATGCTGAAGACATAGGAAAATGAAATTTAAGCCAAGTGAAATTGCACACACTACAGCGGAAAGTGATGTGAAAGGATATGTAGTGTGAAAAGCGCTTAACTCAATAAGCGCTCAATGCCAGGACTCTGTTCCCCGTAAGCTTGAGCATTTTCCCCACAGCATCCGTCGAGTGAAGAGAGAGTGGAAAGCTGCAAGAGCTTTTTTTGCAGGGAGAGCGGAAGAGTTTGGGAGAGAAAGTCGAAGGATGGACCACTCTCTCGCTCTCTCTCCCTCTCTCTTTCTCTGAGAGCAGAAGAAATGCTTCTCTTAACAAGGATGTTGTTTACTAGAAAACAACGCTCTTAGGTTTCATAAGTTTGCATACTTCTAACAACAATTGCAGAGCAACCTTGTCATCTTAATTATGAATTCTCGAGCTACTCCACATTTTCCCATTAGCCCCTTAAGATATTTGTCTGCAATTAAAATCCATCTCGACTAAATCAATTGGTTTCAGTAGCCTTTCATTAAGTCAATTTCATGTGGGTCCAATTTTCCTCAATTGACAAGTTGTGAGCCCGCAAATATGCTGAAATTCCTTGGGAATACAGAAGTGTGTTTGTTTCCAATAACAGTCTGGGAAATGGATTTATCTCGAGACTCGGACGCACACGGCTGATTCAATTAGAAGGACATTAACCCCTTGGTGCCAGCATGATGGATCTGGGCCACTGGCTGGCCGACATATTTGTCGTTGCTCAACTAATCCGTTTTGATTCCAGCGCCTCGTCCTTTGAACCCTGACACGCCCAACGAAGAACAGCTATCCATGTCAAAACAGCTGCAGCGGCGCCCAAAAGAATGCTTTGTTTGTCTTTCATTATGGGGGCTCAGCTGGGGCGTGGCAGTGTCTTTGTTGCGGCTCCATCTTGCCGCACTGAATAAATTACATTTTTGTTCGACATGTACGAGTAAGTCGCATTCCATGTGTCAGTGACGCCTTGTCTTCTCCAAATGAAAGGTCATGACTTCTGACTTCGTCCTGTGTCATTGCTCTATCAATATTCAATTACAAACCAACGTATTAGAATGCTTAACGGTTGAGCTTGATTCTTTAACGAACAACTCTGTTGAAAATAGTAATTACAAAGTAATAAATACTTAAAGCACATAGTATTTCCTGCACAGAAACTTAGTTTTATTGATTTGCCAGCGTGTTGGAGTTCGCACTTAATGAAATCATTTAGCGCTAGGAAAACACAGCACGCAATTTCAGGCATACGGCATGTGGCAAAATTCATTGACTTCTGACCACCCTCGGCTAAAATGAAAATGTTTAGTCAAGTGTTGCCTGACCTCCTCTACACACACACGTTCACACACACACACACACATAAAATGAGCACATGCTCAACCGAGCAGCAGACAATACAAAAACAAAAACAAAAACAAAAACAAGCGCTTTTCTCATTTTCCCAGGAGGCAGCTATTTTTAAAGCTTGGCCCTTGGACTCATGGAAATTTCATTTGCCTGCTCAGGTTCCTTTCGGCCGGCTCGCCCTAACTGCGGTAATTACTCACACTTGACCCGAAGGGTTTTCCGGGCGGGCGAAATCAGCTCGATGGCTCAGCTGGTTGCAGATAAATTGAAATTTTCCGGCCCGTACTGTACTGTACTGTACTGTCGGTACGGCTGGGAAATTCTACGGTTAATTCTGCAATGGAATGTTGCACCCGGCGAAAGTTGCAGTTGATGAAGTTTTGCAATTTGCGAGAAAACATTTGGCACCACCTTTTTCCGGGCTTATGTGGCTTCGAGTTGATTAGATTAAAGCCAAGAGTCGACCCCATTCGAAAGCTGATTAAGTGCCGACCGATATATTGCCATTGGCATTCGCTTCCGCTTCCCCGGTGACAAATAAAACCTGACCTGAGTTCGACCGCCTGGTTATTAAGTAAATGTGGCAGTGGCACAACTTCGACTTCACATAAATTCAGTTGTTATAGTTCACTAAACCTACGCACACATACGGCTATGGCTACAACATGGAATAAACAATACTTTATTTACAATGTAATGGCATATAAAATGGCTGCCGTTGCCATTTCGGTTGTTATTTCTTTGTCTGTGTTCGCTTTTTCGGTTTATTTGCCAGCGGTCAGTTGCTTAATTTCTTCGCTTTTATTTGCCACAATTTCAGCATTGCAGCCGAGCCACAAGTATGTGTGTGTGTGGTGGGCGTGGCCACGCCTCATCCAGCCCCCCGATTCATTTTGTTTCTTGCTGTGTCTTGCCTTTCTTATTTATTTTCGTAATAACAATAAATTACATTTTTCTTCGGCTTTCCCCCTTGCATGAGTGTGTGTTTGTGTGTGTGTACTCATTTGCTAAGTTGTTTTATGTGACTGTCGCTTGTTTGTGGCTTTTTGACATTATTTGGATTAAGAAAATAAATCCTGGCCCTGGCTGGACAGCAATTTTAATATTTTCTCCCCGCCCCTCCAGTGCCCAGTAAACTTTGATTTTCATTCTGTTTTTTATTTTGTTTTGTGCTCTGCACAAGCCAAAGTTTTAATCTATGAAATGGCTTAAATCAAATTTCAGCTCACTGGCACATAAACTTTTCTTACCTGAGCTTGTCATTTCAGCAGAAATACAATTACAACAGGGTAAAGGTAAGGACCCCATTTTGGCCCTCAGTGAAATATGAAATAAAATACACAAAACTCTGCTCACGGTGAAAAAAGGATTTTTTTCATAAACATATCAGGATGTTTACATGCTGTATTTATTTTAGTAAGCTGCAACGAACTCGTCTTTTCATTGCGAAAAATTTAACAAAAACTGCTAGTGCAACTTGAGCTAATAAAATATATCAAAAAATACAGTAGTGTACTCAGCATTCCATTACGTTAAATCAATATTAACACATTTTAAGAGCGTACTCGTGCCATTAAAATGAATAAAATATTGAAATCATTGCCACCTGTTTTTTATGTGAAATTTTTTCGGCAAATGAAAACCAATATTTTTTAAATATTAATTTTCTACAAAAATCATTTCTGACGGGTAATAAAATTTGTAAAATTTGCATTGATGCATTTTTTCGTAAATGCAAAAACTGTCATATTTGTTACTTGTTAAGCAGTAAGGGTACCCATCACACATACATATTTAACAAGGATGACGGATGCTGGAATGCACACATCTACACTCACATAAACAAGGTAACGAAGAACGCAAAAGGACAAAAAAAAAGAGGACAATAAACTGCGATGGCGGCGAGAATAAAACTGTGGAACCGGGCTGCTTTTTACGTGCTACATTTCTGTCGAATTGAGGATGTGTCCTCTGCGAGATAGGAAAAACCCATAAACAAACAGGTGCACCCACCACCCACTGAAACTCGCAACCATGAACACAAAGACAATCGTTAAATGGCATGCATTAGGCTTAGTGGGAATTTTCCAAATGTTATGGCTTTCAATCCGACATTGTTCTATTTGTAGACCTTTTTTTATTCTGTACATCTCTACAGTAAAACATTTGCTAAAGCAACCTATTTTCTGGAATTTTACCAAATGGATTTTCCACTCCAGTTCAGAAGATTGAGATTAATTTATTAACAGAAAACTGGGTGAAATCCATTTGTTCGTTGGCAGATGAATTTTTGCGTTCAAAATAGTTGAGCCATTTTTCTGGTTTTCTTTTAACCTTAATAAACTGTTAGGCGCAGACCGGGCTAAATGGGAAAGCTTAGCCTAATTGCACTCGGCTTTAATGCAGTTTTGCATGCTGCACTGCCAGCGGCAGACACGCCATAATTTGGTTAATTTTCCAACAGCTTGGCTGGCATTTCGCACTAAAGTTTTAATTAAGCTGAGGCCAGAAGCACGTGTAGAACACCCCATTTCCCCCCGGGTCGCTTATCCCCCCATTCAACATTCACATTATTTTCCATTTCTTTTCATTTCATTTTCTGCGGCAGACACGCACTCACAGCTTTCCATGGCGGCCATTCACTCACTCATTCAAAATGCAAAACAATTCAAAAAATGTGTGTAACTATTCTCGCCCTTCCATTTGCCGCCTCCGACTTTCCATTTTCCCATTTCGCAGCGGCTAAATGTGTTGCGCTTTTGTCTGGGCCAACTGGATGTGCTTTCGTTTCGACGTGTTTTTCTATTTTTTTTGTATACCCAACTCGGTTCATAATTCAAAAAGCTTCTGACGGCTGGCTTTAAAATGCCTGCGGCTGTGGCTGCCATGTTTTATGTTTATTAGCTCGTCTAATTGAAATGTCTAATGGCGGAAGTTTATGAAAAAGCTAAAAATTCGCTAGGCCCAGGTTTAAAAGCCTTCGTACTGCCGCGGGTCCAGGAGTCCTTCGAGCTCGAATTGCTTCACCAGCTGCCTAATAGAGTCCTGTATTCCAGGATTGAGATACAACCTCCTTTTCATATTCATTCCGCGCGGCTGGTCCGAAAGTAGAGCTGCAAAATCCGCATCGGTGTCATCGGTGTTCAGTAGCACGGGTTGCAGGAGGAGGCCACAATGAACAGCTAATACGAACAGGAAAAGTTATGTTGATTAGATTGTTTTTAATTATATTAATTAACCTAGCAGTCATAAAAAAATGTAGTTACTCCAAGACCATGTTTTCCATGTTTATAATTAAAAATAAGAACAAATGGTAATCCAAAATATTCTTTCTTATTCACCGTAAAACCGCTTCTGCTCCGACTCTAGGTGAAACTGCTTGCGACTAGGCAACCTCTGACCTTTGAACCCCAGCCTCCTCAGCTCCTCAACGAAGACTTCGTGGTAGACACATCTCATCTTAATTTGCAGCTCGCTCCGTACTTTCTCCACGGCCGACGTGTTGAGCAGATGATGAATGTCCAGCGTGGGCGAGCCCCAAAATGCGTACTGAAAGTCAATCAAAAGGACATCGCTGGGCACGCCCGCCTCGTATTTGAACATCATGTTGTTCGTCCACAAGTCGCCGTGAGTCAGGACATTAATGTGCGAGTTCTCGGGCTGAAAACAGCGCAGTCCCAATCCCATATAATGAGGTTCCAGTTCCTCCAATAACTTCGCTTGACTTTCATAGCCCGGTTGACTTTTTAAATAGCTTGCACATGATTTAAGGCAGCCCAAAAAGTAGGCACTAAAACTTTCCGTGTAGCGATTGAAGAAACCGCGATCGTATTTGGCCAGGGAAATGGTATTCCCATTTGAGTTTTCCTCGAAAACCGCAGAGGCTGCCTGCATTTTGGCCAGTTTCCTTAGCACCAAACTCACGTGCTGCTCATCCAATCTCTGAAGACGTGGAGCCATCATAAATCCCTTATAAGTTAGGTCCTCCATTATAAAAGCTCCTCGCTGTCGATCGATGTGGAAAACTTTTGGATACAATTGTTCACCAGCCAGTTGTTGTAATTTCGGCAACACCTCTTCGTAAATCTCCAGTTCTCGATTGTATATATCATACGGGGCTTTCTTATTTCTGGTCTCAGCATCCTCATCCTCCAAAACTGTCTTGGCAATCAGATGATCCACTACTTTGTGGCCCTGACCAAAACTGTACACAATTCGTATACGTGATAAAATGGCTCATAGTTTTCTCCTTTTCCCAGAGCTGGCCTTATATCAACCGATTCCACTCGAACTTGGGGGTTTTGGTAATGTTGTTGCAGAGCATTTTCCAGGTATTCAAAAGTTAGCCAAGCTGCCATGACTAAAGTAACCGGACTAGAATGTACACCTTATCCGTAGTGATCTGCAGATACTACTGATAAGTTGTTAGATGATACAAACAAAAAGCTCTCAGTCGACAACTGAACAATCAGTTTTGTTTCTTATTGCTTTACTATGAGCACTTTTGCTTTAAAAAAATTAATGAATGCATACAGTTGTTTTTGCCAACTGCAATCTTTGTGACTAACAGATGTTTATAACAAAAACTGATTGTGCATTTTGATTAGCAATATACCTTTGACTGGTTTGCATAAAAACAGATTTAAAAAATATATTTTTTTCAAAAATTTGCAATAACGTTTTTAAGTGTAGCTTCTCGCCAATAAATCTCAATCAGACTTCCGCATTTAGTTAAGATAACAGAGATTTGCTTGGCTAACTTTATTGCCTTAAGAAATATATGCAAATGTGAATGTGGGGCTTAAATCACCCGGCCCATCAGCTGGCCTAATCGCATGCAGGCCATCTCACCCAGTTGACCGGCTCTCACCCATCCGCTTGGCCCACTGCCAGTGTCACAGTTTGGGGCTTAGGCACCTCCGGCTCCGGCCCGGATCCAAATTCCGGCTTTGATTCCGGCTCAGGCCGCTTGCTGCAACTGCCGGCTGTCCGGCGGCTGGCGCACTCGTAAACGTAGTTGGCCAAAACCACCGCAGGAGGGGCAGCAATAGTTATGGTTTCGGCCACCTCAGGAGCTGATGTTCTCATTGTAGCCGCTGCAATGTCTTCTGCAGTCGTGTTGCTCGGTTTTGTTGATGCTGTCGCTATTGCATTTCTGGGCGGCATTGACAGTCGATGGCAAACGCCTGTGCCGCTGGCATTCTTCTCCTGCCACATGTGACCTGTGCCCCGCAGGCAGCTGGCCTCGATCGCTATAGCTAGTCGGATTTCATCGGGGTTCAATTACGGTTCCCGGTTAATTAGGGCACTCGAGAGCACTTACCAAAGGAGTGGCCGAGCAGGAGGCAGATCAGAAAATTCCAGTTCATTTTTTAGCTTGCTGCTCGTTGAATACCGCTTTCTGTTTTGTTTGCTTACAGATATTTGGGTCAAGGACTACTCTCACAGAGAAGAAAACCTGTCTCACTTATGAATCAGTTTGTAAATATTTATATTCGGAAGAAAACTAAGAAAACTTAAACAATATGTAAATGCATGCAATACATTAAACTTGTAAGTACCAAACCGCGATGCAACACCAACTGGCTTTCTTAACTCTTTCCTCCTTGCGGCTTTCGTTCCTACCGATTTCTCGGATTCCACTGCTTTGAGCTCTCCAACCACGGCAAGTTCTTCGACCACGCCTTCTTTGTCCCTCAAGCCAACCAGCTCCAAGTTCCCCATTTATTCGACCTTCACCACAGTCGACAGAGCCTTGATAGTTCTATCTACTGATGCAACAAAAATCCATTCAAATTGACGCATTGACAATTGTTTTACCAATTTCAGCTCGCTTGTTTTTCGACAGTTGGCCAAAAAGTTTGTAGCCTCCATTCTGAGCATCGTTTTGACAACTGCTAAAGCTGTTGTTGGTTGAATTGCCGTTGTTGCTGCATTTGTTGCAGCTTAAAGTTGCCGGTGCTTATTTTGCTTGCTTTTTCACCAGCTCTTTTCCCTTCTTTGCATAGCCAGAGCGCTAGTTTATCAAAACATTTTCAAGTTGGAGTGGTGCGGCTGCAAAAACAAAGGCACCCAAGACATCATCGATTTTCTCGAGTGGAATGCGCCTTGAAGGCAAGCGAAGGAGGCATGCGGGATGTGGCAACAAGGAAAACAACTCAATCTCAATGCATGGCACTTAAGCAGCTGAAGGAGCAGCGGCAACAGTGGCAGCCACTTGGTTGCAAGGTGCTGAAACTTCCCCGACAGCGGAATCCCATTTCTGGAGGGAAGCCAACAGGGAAACAGTTGGTGGTGCACCCCGAGGATTGTGCAAGGGATTATAATCGATTCTTGAAGGTATTTTATGTTCTATCTTAAACGGAGAAATTTAAGTTATCAGTATAGTCTTAATACATTTTTTCTTAACTATTTCAGAATATTTGTTGTTGCAACTTGGCTAGTATTTCTGTAACCACACAAAAAGCAATTCATCCATCCATAACTCATTCAGGATCTCACTTTCATATCGCTGCGCTGTCTTAATTCACTGCGAAAGAACCTGAAGCCTGAAACTTTGCTCATTATATTTACTGAGATGCAGTGCACTTGGCAGCTGATTCGCTCATATATACGAGAGATACGCTCATATTTATTATGGAAGGGAATAAATGCGTACAGCACGAGAGCTGCCTTACTAATTACCTTTATTACAATTTTAATTAAAAGTTTGTTAAAATTTCGCTACAGAAAATTGTATTTAAATTAAAATTTAATACTAAATGTTTTCTATTTTTTGTTTAAACTTATAAAAATTTTAATTTCCAAATAATCTGCACTGTTAAGTGCAAAACAAATGTTGAACTCCGAAAGTGTATTTAAAATTAATATACATTTTATGTTTGTGCTGGCCAAATAAATTTCTATGAACAAGTGTATAAATATCTCATTAAAAATGCATAAATGCATTGCGAAATAAAATCTGCCACAGCGCACTTGTGAGACTTAAACTCTCTATGGATTTCTTGATCACCTCGTAAATATTCTTGAGTGCTCTTTAGAGACTCTCGCGTACTTCTCTGGCGCACCTCGGGCACAAGCTCGTCCTGGAGCTGCGACGCCTCGCAGGACCTTATCCCGGGCCAAAAGGCGGCACACGGAAGCGGGTCAGGCAAACGCTTGGCACGTGCATTTCATTTGATAAATGTTGTCGTTGTCGCCGTCGCCTCTGCCTGATTATGCAGCCCAGGCAGCTATGTGCTTTTCCCCCTTCTTCCTTTTCTTCCCCCCTCAAAGTCCACGCCCCCTCGACTTCCCTGGAGCGTCCTGCTTCCGCCGTAGATGCCAAAAACTTGCCTCGACTTCCGTTTTTGCCGGCTGGGTATATCTTTTTTATTGCACACGCGCGCTTGAATATAAACCGCAAAAGGTGAGGTGCTATGCGGTGGGTTGTAAAAGGGGGTGGTGGGGAGGAGGGGGTAGGGCAAGCCGCCCGGGTTTTGTATGCGGCATCAGGTTTCGCCTGTGTGTAAAATTTACACTGACATGAGCTAACTAGTCCTGTATTTATGCCGGTGTGTGTGAGGAGTATCTATGTGCGTTGCCGGGTGTACGGTATCTGTGTATCTTTGGATGCGGCACGTTGCCGTTGTAACTTGCAACTTAAATGCGCACGTGATGCGCTGCCTGCGTTTGCTTTATTGCGTGAGCTGCTCGAAAATTAACAAAGTTTTTTCCCCAGGTTCCCTACTTCTTTGTCTTTCCATCTTTTCCTGATATACACTTAAAGAAAGTAAATTTAAAGGCAGCCTGATTTTTCAAGTATATTTTTAAGGCTCATCCCCAGATATTAGTATTACATAATGTAATTTTTAAGGTATTTTTTAATTCAATATTTCTGTTAAATTTAATAAGCACTTTTCTCTCTGTGCAGCTCACAATATGAATGAAGATGCCAACGACACGAGTGCGAATGGGCACGACCTGGCATAATATCACGCATACGACACGTTGTCGCTGCGAATTTTTGATAGCTACTGCAATCAGCTAAGTGAACGACGGCAATCAGCCCAACGGCACAACAACAATGAGGAAAATGATTAAACGGAAGCGGAAGCTGTCAGGCAACAGCTTCGAGTTTTCCCAACTTTCGAATGACATTTTTGCCGAAGCCAGAAGTCGCTGCATTCGAATTATAATCAGGTTGTCTGGGGGAAAAAATTCCCCAGTGGAGGGGAAAGGCGGTTGAAAAAACTTACGCTCGCGAACAGAAATTGAAAGTCAACACACACAACTAGAGCGGGGAGATATCGAAATCAAATCACAGCATCGTCAAATGCATTTAGAGCTATTTGCATTGCTTGGCATTCCTTCTGCTCGCTGATTCCCGCTCCTTGATTCCATCCGATTCAGAGGCAGCGGCAGATTCTGATTCAGATTCAGATTCAGATGCAAAGCCTGTGCGCCTCGGCATGTGTCTCCGGATATTTTTCCCTTTGCCATCGGCTTTTTTGCTGCTACGCTGCATTGCAAATTGATTTTCATAGCCTTGGGGACATGCATTCGACTCGTTGACAGACCTTCAGCTTGAAGTTTATAGTTTGTTAGTCTCGGCCCCAAAATGTCAAAAAATATAGAAACTCTTTGTCAGGAAGAACACATTTTATAGACATTTCTAATTACCATTTTTGGGAGAATTTTATCTGCAGTTGACTTTGAAAAGGAGGCCCTTTGATAAGTAAGAGCCCTGGATACAGCCAGTGGGGGAATTCAGCACTTTGTGTGTCCCAAAGGCTTTAAACAGGCTCGTTAAAATCTGTAAAATCCTGAAAACATTCAAATTAAAAAAAAAAATTATACAGATCGTTTAGAAATTTCATGAAAAATTTGAAGGAAAATGTCACTTTAAAATCGATCAAAAATTGTGGAAGCTATGAGATTTAGAATGGCATTAGCAGTGGTTTAAAATCGACTTCTCCAAAATTAAAAATTTCAACGCAGTTCGTTCAGGGATTCAACACAAACCGATGGAGGCATGCCACTTTAAGATTGGATAAAAGTTGTGAAAGGACTGGGATCTAAAAGTTTAGTATTGGGTCATTTTAGTGCATATCATCGGAAATCCAGAATCACCAAAATGAAAATATATAAACACAGTTCGTCTCGGAATTTCATAGCACACTTTGAGAGGCATACCACTTTAAAATCCGGTTAAAATTGTTCAAGTAATGGAATTTGAAAGTACAACATTGGGTCACCATTGAGCAAAACATCAGAAATTCAGAAAAACCTGACATAAGCTCATGACCATTACACATTGAAAAAAAATCGAGAATGGCAACAGCATAAAAATAAGTTATTTTAAGAATTCCACCATAAACGTTATAATATCCGTAATCAGTAGTAAGTGAACACGGAATATAATTCTTTTAGTGTCGCCCTATGGGCATTGAAAATTGGCTGGTCGCCATAGCCATTTGCATACATTTGGTTAAAATTTATCCAAGCGAAATCCGTTTTCCTGACATCGCCAAAAGCTGGTCCTTTATTAATTATCGAAATGGCGTCCATGTTAAGCTTCACACTTTTAATGAACGAAAATAAACAAAAGTAAGTGCATAGCAGGATTTCGAGCTGCATTAATAATGAAGATAAAAAAAAGCGTAATGTGTTTGCAACTGATTATGCAAACACATGTGAAAAAAGGGGAATTGTAATTCGAAGCACAATTCATTGTTTTATTTTGTTAAATATTGACAATAATTATGCATTAATGCGCAATGTATAAATAATTACTGAGACAATTGTCCGTGCAGTGAATGTTACGCATACGAATGTGTGGTGGCCATATGCTTCCAATTTCGAAGTCAACGCAATTTAAACATATTTTCGCAACTCAATTTTCGAACAGCAATTTTATCTCACTACAGTATTTGGTTCCACACAAAGTTGGTCGATGAAAGATGAGTCGAAATAGCTACCAGTCTCGTGTAATTTGCAAAAAAAGCAACCAGAAACTTCTTCTTTCTTCTGCTTTTAATTGAACATTTTTAATTTATGCACAATAAAAACTGATTTACCGCTGTCTACCCGTTCAGCTAGAAAAAGTTCAACTTTAACTTTTTATGACTGACCCCAACAGAAAAATGTAATGGTCGGAAGCAAAGAAAAAAAATGATAAGCCATAAAAGCGACCAAGGTGGGTTTGTGTGTCTATGAAAGCTAAACTAAAGTTTTGGTAGAGCAACTTTTGGTTTTTAGTGCCGGCAGCTTGGTCCATTTTACAGCATTTAAGTGGCCATGAATTTCCCGCCCAGTGAACAGCATCCCCTGCCAACAAAACGAGCACGTGGCTCCATAAAGACAACAGGGATTCACTACCGAACCCGTCTCGATTTTCCATCCAAAAATTCGAACCACCTGCCGGTCCCGGCAGGTAGGCGCCTTTGTTTTAGTT